TAACCTGTTTTTTGTTTTGTTTTGTTTTGTTTTTTTCTCACTTGTTTCTCCTTGACAACACTCAAGGAATCACTTGAACACATATCCCCATCTCAGGTTTTGATGTACAGCAGAATTATCCTATGCAATAATCCTATCCTTCTGCAGTGATGGAAACCATGCCAGACAAATAACTTTGTAGATTTTTGTAGATACATTTTTTCCCCAACATGTCTGGGAGGCAAATGCTGACCAAGGCAATTCTCCTCCTCCTGCAGCAAAGCCTGGACTGAAGGACAGCAGTCCACGATCCTGCACTGTGGGACAATGTTGTGAGACAGCTCCTGGAGATGGCACTCGGCCTGAGTTTCTGAGAAATCTGTTTAGTATCAAAATAGTATATCCGTGCTGGCATGAGATCCAGTGCTCCCAGGGGTAATGAAAAATAACCTGGAACTGGAGGACTTGAGGCTTTCACATTTCTGCATCTGTTGGAGGAGTTGGGCCTTTTCGTTTGTGCCAAAGGAGAACTTTAAGAGAAAATTTTTAAAAAAAAAACTCATAGGTTAAATAGAAATAGAACTTCATGAAGACAATCAAATTTTTCAAAGGTCAAAGATGAAAAATTTTAAGTGACGAATCTCATCAGTAAACTGTATGGGGAAAAATAAGCATACATATAGTAACAGTGAAATGGAATCGTTACTTCACATCACATTTAAAAAACAAAATCTCTAAATAAAGACTTAAATGTGTGGCCTGGAACTATTAAACACTGGGGATATACTCTGACATTGGTCTTGGAAACGGATTTTTGGATATGATCCTTATAACACAGCCAAGAACAATGCTCTTGTTTGCCTGCCAGGACAAGATCATAAGACCACATTTCTGATGATACCACATGTGTGGGTTGCAAGATATTGAGAAATCAAGCTGGATCTGAGCTAAAAAACTCCCTCCCTGCTGTCTAGCTTTGATAGTGCTGAAAGAAGCTATGTAGACTTCAGGGGGGGCAGTTATTAACAGTTTAATCCAGCTATGTACCATGCTAACTACATTAATGACTTGCTGGCAAGTTATGCCCAGCAATGCAATAATGGCACAGCTATTACAGGAGTAACCAACTACCCTCTAACTTTATTTGATGCCCCCTCTATGGGAGGGAGCTCATGCCTAGTACTCTCCATCACCACTACCACCAAAAGTTCAGGGAACATCATGGAACAGGGAATAGAAAAAAATTAAGAGTCAGAGGTTACAGAGGTACGCTGCAAAAGTTGTCTTCCAGACATGACAAGACCATTGCACTCATAAATTAATTGAAGATATGAGAATGTCCTTCCCTAGGTCCATAGGCAGTTAATGCATATCATGGGAGAGGTTCTTATTTTTCTCAGTGGTGTAGCTGATAAATTATTATGTTTAAGTAAATAACCCCTACTATGCTCATGTCACCAGCCTTAATTAAAATTACTGGGTGTACACACACACACCACCACCACCACCACCACCACCACCACCAAGAGATTATTGGAAAAAGGAGAGTTTCAGTGGGAGAGAAGAGGAATGAGAAAGAGTAACAGTGTGTGTGTGTGTGTGTGTGTGTGTGTGTGTGTAAATACCCTAATCTATCTATCTATCTATCTATCTATCTATCTATCTATCTATCTGTGTGTGTGTGTGTGTGTGTGTATATATATATATATATATATATATATGATTGTCAAGAGAAAAATATTTTGAAAAAATTAGACAAAAAAAAGCAAAAGCAGGCAAATGGTATTACATCAGAATAAAGAGTTTGTCAATGAAATGATTTCTAATGATATTTTGCTATACTTATAGATCAAAGCCTAGCCCAATCATCATCAGAGAGGCTTCATCCAGCAACTTACAGGAGCAGATACAGAGACCAATAGCCAAACATTAGGTGGAATGAGGGGAATCCCACAAAATAAGGGAAGGATTGTAGGAGCCAGAGGGGTCAAGGACACCATGATAACACGGCCTACAGAATCAACTAACCAGGGCTCGCAGGGGCTCACAAAGACTGAAAAGACAACCACAGAGCCTGTACGGGTCTGAGCTAGGTCCTCTGCATGTATGCTATAGTTGTATAGCTTGGTGTTCTTTGGGACTGCTAACAGTGGGAGTGGGAGGTGTCTCTGACTCTTTTTCCTGCTCTTGTGACCCTTTTCCTCCTATTTAGTTGCCTTGTCCTGTCTTGATATGAGGGTTTGTGCCTAGTCTTATTTTAACTTGTTATGCCATGTTCATTTGATATCCCTAGAAGACCTGATCTTTTCTGAAGGGAAATGGAGGAAGAGTGAATCTGGGGGAGATAAGAAGTTGGGGGAGTGTAGCTGGAGTTTTCCTGTGTCCTGCCCAGTCTGCAGCCACTCAGACCCAAGTAAACACACAGAAGCTTATATTAATTAAAATTGCTCAGCCATTAGCTCAGGCTTATGACTGACTAGCTCTTACATCTAAACTCAGTCCATTTCTGTTAATCTACATGTTGCCATGTGTTCTGTGGCTTTACCTGTGTGCCATTACATGCTGCTCCCTGGACAGCAGGCCAGTGTTTCCTCACTCAGCCTTCCTCTTCCCAGAATTCTCTTTGTCTGCTTATCCTGCCTATACTTCCTGCCTGGCTACTGGCCAATCAGCATTTTATTTATCAACCAATCAGAGCAACACACATTCACAGCATACAGAGAGACATTCCACAGCACTTCCCCTTTTCTGTCTAATCGAAAAGGAAGGTTTTAACTTTAACATAATAAAATTACATATAGCAAAACAGTTATCAAGCAAGAATTATAGTTATAATATCTAGTCTATTTGTATTTGGCAAAATTAAAGAAAATATCTTTCCTATCCTACATTTGTGAGTCTAAGGTTTCATATCTACCTTATCTCTTATTATAACCAAGGAAAATCATAATTATAACTATCTAGTCTTCAACTACATCAAAGACCTCAGAAGGATATAATATTACCTAAGTAAAAAGGAAGAACGTTGTAAGCAGCTTCCAAAAATCTAGAATGACAAAGACAGCTGGCTACCTGGACAGTCATCCAAAGTTCCTCTGTAACGTTGGGGCATCCATCTTCAGCCCACAGGCCTAGAGTTTTTTAGTAGCTTCTCTGTGTGTCCTGTAGAATATCTGGCAGTCTCCTCTGTGAAGCAGGAACCTGAAGGGCCATCTCACCTTTCAAAGTTCAGTGGTGACCTTCCTATGGGTCCTGCAAGTCCAGTCGATACAACATTTTGTCAAGCAGTCCAGGCAAGAACAGTTTCTTGCCCAAATGGCTATTTTTGCCAAGAAGAAGATAAACTCCATATAGAGTGTCTTCAATGTCCATCTTTCTCTTTGAAGTAAATGGGTGCTACCAGGAGCAGATGTGTCTCACTGTCCAGAAAAGTCTAAATTTTTAAAACATTTTAAATGCCATATTCTGTAGGTCTTTGAAGTGTTTGAAGATTATTTACCTAATTAAAATATATCTATGTATACCTAGAAAACTTAACTAACATGACTATAAGTTTGATTATCAAAGGTGACTAATAATCTGCATTTCTTAATTATACATTACAATTTCAAATGAGTTGCACAAAATACTTTAAACAAGAGTAGAAATATGCATACAGTATAACAAAATTAATTTTAAATTTGTATCAATAAACTAAAATCCATAGCATTTTAAAACATTTTTAAACAAGTTGCTCTTTAAAAGTAGATTCAATAATCTATCCTTTTATCTTATCATATCTATATCCTATATTTCCATATCATATCCCCCTTTTTTCTTCTAGAAAGAGATTGACTATGACCAATAACAATTTGTAACCAACAACCTAAATAAAAATAAACATCCATAATCCATTTTTTGCGAATGTAGGCACAGTGTTTTAGGCTACTTCCTGCTGATAGGGGGCACTGGTAGTCTTATGGGGATCCTGAGAAAATTATGAATTATAGTTAAATCTTAGCTGTAGCATCTATAAGGCTGCATTGTCTGAGCCAGTTGCCTGGAAGCCGTTCTAGATTTTGGATCATCTGGGCCATGGTATCATCAGAGACCTTTCAGGGGGTCTTGGCTGGTCAAACTATATTAGCTTCGAATCAATCCATAGGTTCTAATCTTCTGTGGAAACAAAAGCATAACCTCTTTCCAAAGAAACACATCCTTAGATCCAAGTTTTGAAGTCAAGATATCTTTAAAATATACATATTGGTTTAACTGAGTAGCCTTTACAATCAAATGTCTTTCTGCAGTTAAAAATCCCAAACACAATATAATCCAGACTCTCTGTGTAATATCCATCTTTACATGGCTTATTTTTTATATTACCTTTCCTGTCTCTTTAAAGACTTTATTTTTTATAACTATTTCTTTATATAAGTGTTCATATTCCTTTTCCTCTCTCTTCCAAGCCTGCATACATTTTTACATACACCGTAAACCATTTAGAGGTTTATTTAATCTGAATCTGACTTATTGTGAATCTATTGCTTTAAACTGTAGAATGACTAGGACCCACTTCAGTTTTCCAACATGGTGGTAATACGTTTACTGCCAACTCTGGCTCTGGGAGCCATGTGTACCACCAACTCTCGGAAGCAGCGGATCTATGCTTTCATCTAGCAACGTGTAGCCCAAAAACCTTTTCTTTATTTCCTTTATTTTTTTTTTTGGTCTGTACTAGCAAAAGCTATATCCACCATGCCCCATGTTGAATGACTTACAGATACCACTGTGTACAGTGGCAGGAATCTTCCATGCTGCCGGTCAAGTCCACATGCGGCAAACCCGCCATACTGTAGCTAGCAGTGGTTGGCCTGAGAAACACACTAGGAAGCTGTTTTTAGCTCCGTTTTAGAATCTTTTTTTTTTTTTTTAAGCTTTCTCAGGTTTTAGGTGAAAAATCTTGCCCCACATTTTGGCGCCATTTGTAACTGAAAGTTTTTCTGTGTCCCAGCTGGCTAGCAGTTGGGACAAATCTCTCTCACCTGCGGTTCTGCAGCTGCTCATAAAATAATCACTCAGAAGGCGCTAGAAGGAATGGAGGAATGGGAAACTGCAATCAGGATGTAATGTATGAGAGAAAGATAAATAATAATAATAATATAAAAGAATAAAGACTTTGCATAGCAAACAAAACAAATGAGAAAAGGAAAACATGGCTTATAAAAAAAATTTGTAAACTACATCTGATAAGAGGTTATTATCCAAAGTTGATGAGAGACTCAACAGCTCAATAGCAAAGAAATAACCTGGTTTTTAAAATAGGCAAAGGACAAGCATAGATACTTCTCAAAAGAAGATACACAAACAGCCAATAGATATTTGAAAAAAAAAATGTTGCATATCAGCATCATCAAGGAAATGAAAACCAAGATCACAATGAAGTTCCATGCTATATCTGTTAGAACAGCTGTCATTAAAGAAACAAACATAAGAAGGGGTGGAGGATATGGAAAAAAGGGAATTTTCTTACAGTGTTGGTATGAATATAAATTGGCACAGACATTGTTCAAAGAAGTATGGAAGTTCTCTAAATAAAAATAAAACTATTATACGACTCAGCAATCCAACTATTGGGTATACAACTGGAGATGTGTGTGTGTGTCTGTGTGTGTGTGTCTGTGTTTGTGTGTGTCTGTGTATGTGTATCTCCAAAGAAAATGAAATTAGTATGTCAAAGAGACAAGTGTATCTCTACAGTCACTGAAGCACTATACTTAACAGTGAAGGTTAAATTAAAGTAAGCATCCATCAGTGGGTGAATGTATGAACAAGACACCATGTACATATAGAATGGAATATTACTCAACTTTATAAAAATACAAGGAAATCCTGTCACTTGAGATAATATGTATGAACTTGGAAGACATTGTGCTTAGTGAAATAAATCAGGCACAAAGAGACAAGTACTGTATGTTCTCACTTACACTCAAAGGCTTTGAAATCACAGAAAGAGCATTGCTAAGGCGTGAAGTTTGTGGAAATGGAGATGCGTTAGTCAAAGAGTAAAATATTGGCTATGCAAGATGAATAAACTATAGAGATCTGTATAGCATGGCAACTATAATTAATAGGGTATTATACACTTGAGATCTGCTGAGATAAGCTATTAAGCATTTTTGACACAGATAATAAAAAGGGTAACTATGTGAGGTGATGGATCTATTAATTAGCTTCATTTTGATTATCCTTTTACAAAGTATATCATGTCACAAATCAAAAGATTGTGTTGCACACCATGAATATATTCAGTTTCACTTGTCACATGAAGTTGGGCAGGGAGAGCTAACAGCATTTTCTAAACCCAATCGCAAAAAAATTCATATTGTTATCTCTTAATTATCACAAAATTCTTAGAATAAAAAAGACATTTTGTTTGCTTTGATCTTCTTAGAGAAAGGTACTATGGTGGGCTTTGATTCTAAAGAGGAAGCAGAATTTCTTCATTTCTGTGGTAGAAGATGCTGTGACTGGGTCAGCATTATCTCTGGCCTTACCCTGCATCCAGTTAGCAGTACCAATGTGGACAGTTAAGTGATATTCCCCTTTCTCTCTGAATCATTTATCTGCAAAATTAGATGATAAGAGAGTCTGTGACCTCTGTGGTAACTACGATTCTAAAATCCTCTGAGTCCCTAACTTCTCTACTCTGATGTGGTACTGATGCTGTAATTCAGACCTCATTAGCCTGTCCCAACATGAAGTCTTCAATAGTCAGGGAGGCAGAAATTCAACACGGCACTTTTCTGAAAAACAATCTTCTGATAAGGAGGAAAGAGAGCTGATGGCAGATGTAGAGTGATTAGCCACTGCAGGCAGGCAGGTGGGGCACTGGCTCTTAGTGAGTGAATGATAATATGCAACAGTATTATCACACAAGGAACGGTAACCTATGAATTAGCTCCCTGTGTACCGTCTGAAGCTTCAAGTCAGCCTGCTGGATCTTTGCTGTTTCTACAGAAGAAAGGACGCAAAGGAGGAAAGACAGACTGATGTGCCACATGAATTGCACATGGTTCTAACCCTGTTCTTCCATGAGTCATTTCTATGGGGTCTCAGCTTCTTTATCTGCTAAACAAGGCTCTGCAGCAGCAGATCTGGAAATGTCCTTGCAGGTCTCTGGCTATCAGATGCTATCAGCTCCTGTCTTTTCTTGACATATGCCTGAAAAACATTTTCTTAAAAGACATTCCTTTTCCTGGTTTTAGAATTTAAAGAATTGAAATCACGAGTTTCAATTCTCAAAAGCAATTAGTTAAACAGAGAAAATCAAGACAGGGCATTTACAATTCAGTCATTTTTGTTTGTTCTGAAGCAGGGTCTCCCTTAGTCTAGCCCCTCCCACCTCAGCCTCCTCAGTACTACAATTACAGGCATGTGCCACTGGATCCAGCTTCATTAAAATTCTTGAAACTGAAAACTTAAGGGCTACTGAAACAAAATCAAGTTGTTTGTTTTTTTTTTTTTTAAAAAGATTTCTGTAAATCCCTAGGATGTTATAAGTGAATGATCTTCAATTACCTTAGTAATACACACTGTGAAGCCTCAATAAATAGTTGTTAAGTAGTTACCTTTACTGGAATGACTTTACAAGGAAATAGCTAGTCATCCCAAGTTCCATTCAGTTCTAGTGTCCTATGATATATTTATTGAGTGCAGAGAAGACATGTAGGGGAAAATAAAGCTAAGATAGGCCTAATGGATAAAGTACCACCCATAGAGCCAAATGGACCCGAGCAAAAATATTGTTTCTGTATTTACTGTGGCACCTCAGGCAAATTTCTTGAGAAGGGGGTGGGAACAATTTTGAAGGAAGTAAAACAGGGTTAAGGAGTAAATGGTCAAAGGGAAGGGTGAGACTTGAATGTGCAGGAAAGATCTCTCAGAGACAATGACATCTGTTATGAGAAGGACTACAAGGAACATTCTAGGCAGAGAAGAGAGCCAGGTATTGCTTAGAATGTTTTAGAAAGAGAGAAAAGGGCCCAGCAGTTTAACATGGTGAAAAAGCAGAGTGTGACTGAAAAGGGAGAGCTCCTGCTGGTCTTTCTTGGCCTGGTAAATTTTATTCCAGTTGCAATGAGAAAAACCTGAGAAGTTTTAAGTCAAAAAGGAACATACCTGTGGAGTTCATTGTAAAATCTCCCTCTCGTATAGAGACTGGATTATTGGTGAGCCGTAAGAACAGAGAGCTGGAGGACACTGGACAGCTCAGCGTGGTGAAGTTGGAGAGAAGTAAGTCAGACTTAATATCTATTCGGGGGTACTGTGGATTAAACAAGACAACATATGTAAAAACACTTACCAAGTGCCTGGGTCAATTAAATGCTTATTACAGATAAGAGGATCTGATATAACAGGCTGATTGCAGGCCCATATGTACATCAAAGAAGAAAGTGATGCACACTTAGGTCAAAGATCTAAGGTGCAAGCTAGCAAACTGGACCAATAGCTCATTTGTATTCCACATGGGCAAGTCCTATTTGCTTGCTATAGCTTCCCTGTAAGTTGAGGGGCGGTCTCTAAGTACTAACATTCATGAATCTTTTTATGGAATATGCCAGTCAGGGGCATTATGAGTGAGGTGGAATAAAGAGTTTAGTATAAATATTCCATGTGAGGTATCGACTCTATGCCTGATGTCGTTCCCGAAGCCATCTAAGACCAGCTAGGGATGCAATCAGGAAGAACAGCTGGAAGTTGGGTGTGACGTGTAAAATCCAGGGCAAAATGGAACTCACAGTGATAAACTGTTTAACCACCGCTCACCCTGGTCGAGTAAGTGACTGGAAGAAGTCATTTATCAGCAGCTGGAGGAACTTCAGGTCCAGCTGCTGCTGCATGCTAACAGGTGAGACAATAGGTGAGTGGCAGCGTTTGTGTGTTTATGGTGTCTTGAACGCCGACCTAACTTTCAGAGCAACAAACTATTGCTTCTCCTTTACCTCCAATCTCGTGCTGATTTCTCTTGTGGTCACCACATCTGGAATGGTCCAGGGAAGGAAATTCTTAGAAAGATAGTTCAAGTCTATGGGTAGGAAAGACTGGTAATGTGTTTGCTGTACAATCATGGGGACCTAAGTTCGGATCCTAGTACCCACATGAAAGCTTGAAATGGCAAGCCTGTGACCCCAGCGCTGGCAAGGGATGGAGGGAAGACTCAGACAGGAAGGGTTCCAGGGCTTTCCATAGCTACTCTAGCATAAACAGTGAACTCCATAGCATAAACAGGTCTCACACTGAGAGACCATATATCAAATAATCATCATCATCATCATCATTATCATTATAATAATAATAGATTAAAAGAGCAATAGAGGAAGATATCAGATGTCAACTTCTGACCTTCATTCACAGATGCATGGATGTATGTACATATGTATGTATGAGTATGTGTGCACACATAGCATACACACATGCACACACACACACACACACACACACACACATGCATGCACATAAGAACCTTACAGTTTAGCTAAACTGACACAGTACAAAACTATAAAACTCCACTTCATCAATTTGGCATTCATACACACATCTTGTTGTCACACTTATCTTCAGATTAAGATAACGTAAAATGACAATGATGTTTCCACTTCACATGACATGGCAGTCCCTCCTCTTTCCTTGACAGAGGATATGAAGCTCCTCTCTCTTTATATGAGGGCTTTTGTACAACACTGGCTAGTTAACCCTTTGCCTGTTATTTTTATTCCTATTCCTGTTCATCTGAGTCACCAAGGATAACAAACAAATGATGCTTATGAGACTATTCCACTGCCTCCCTTCTTCTCTTGGTCTCCTGGAAACTTACCCGTCCCTCAAAACTAAGCTCACATTCTAATTTTTTCTATAAACTTACCAAGACATCATCTCCTGACTTACACCATCCTGGCTTGAAACCCTTGCTCTGTCTTGTGGTATACAGGCTTCTCAATGGTTTCAGTTGGCAATGGTCAAAGGACTAATGCACGGTACTAAGAAAACATTATAGTTTGATTCATGAAGTAGAGAAACTCATCTGCCCCTAAATTAAACCACAATCTCAGCCCAGATACTGTTTCATCTTAAAGTGTTTAAGATTAGGCACAGTAAAATTTAAAAAAGAAGATAAGTGATTGTCAAACATCTGACTTCAAAAGTAAGCTGAACACTATGAATCATGCCTGCCTTGCAGGAAGGGTAGAACCTAATCGATTGCATTTTGGTGGTTTTCTATATCTAGCCCATAATTATTAAGTCCCTTCTCTGGATCAGTCAATGTTTTCCTAAACTGTTCGTGAGCATAGTGGAGAACATGACACTGCCTCTGACCTCAAAAGTCAGTGAAGGAAACAAAGTAAACAAACTCTAACCTCATAAGACAGAATTTTGTGTATGACAATGGAAATGGATGGAGTTAAGGGAGGTCCTGAAAAAGCACTAACCAAAAAGCTGGGTAGTGGTGCACGCCTTGAATCCCAGCACTTAGGAGGCAGAGCCAGGTGCATCTCTGAGTTCGGGGCCAGCCTGGTCTACAGAGCGAGTTCCAGGACAGCCAGAGCTGCACAGAGAAACCCTGTCTCAAAAAAAAAAAATCAAAAAAAGGAAAGAAAGAAAGAAAGAAATGTGTTTCTCTTTTATCTCATGTGACTGTGAACTGTAAACCTCTTAAAGGTAGGGACCATACAGTGTATGTCTACATACATTGTCTGAACACCCAGCTCAGATGACAGCAACCTGTCACTATATATAAACTAGTGCATGAATGTGAATATTGCAATGAGATGAACCTGTGGGGGCATACAGTGCATTTGCATTAATTTTAGCCTCCCACAGACATTCTTGGCTGATTATCTGTATATCATCAGCCCTGATAAGTAGGAATGTCCAATGTTTCATCTCACACTTGCTAAAACTATGATGGACGGAACAGGACTTGATTCTTTGACAACCAGAGCTTTGTGGTGACAGTTCTGTGCAGACTAGTAGCACAATGGACTAAGAAGGGACTGTGACTCTGCCATTTAATAGCTGTTACTTGTCTCTTGGGACATCCAATTGCTCAGCTTGGAGCGAGATTAATGTTCTCTTCTACCTGACCCAGTAGACATGCTCTTGTTTTATAACTAGTTTGAGAGTAGGTGTAGTGCCCAAGACACTTGTAAGCTGATAGGATGTGGCTTGGCATATTCCTGTGGTATTGTGGCTCCACAGTAAATTCCCATTTGGTACTGGTATTAATCCCAGTGAATTTCCCCTCCCAAACCAATCAGAGTAATAATGAATCACTCTCTTGCATTTTCTATCAAGACAGCTCTTTGTGATTTCTAAACGTCCCGTCTGGATTCAAAGAAGCTGGTTTCTTCATGAGTGGTTGGAATAAGACTTTTCTTAGAAGCTACTGAATATGGATTAGTTTGGATTGTTTCTCAGGAAATAAAAAGCAGGCTCTGGGGTGACCACTTCAACATTTAATTGGGTTAGCAAAGAACTACAAATAAGAGGTTTTCCTTAGGAGGAAAGCATGTTTACTGCACCCAACCCCTTAGGTGGTAGATTTTAGCCTAACTGCTGGCCTTCAAATGCAGCCTTTAACTCAGGCACCATTACAGGAATATAGCAGAGCAGAACTGTCACATTGAAAACTTAACACATCACAGGAGTTCACTGGACCCCAGCCTCTCATTAGATACAAATACAGAGCTCTCCAACTGCCTGGCCACCTACAGAAGTCATGTTTGCAGCAGCTCCAAAGGGTTTGCATCCTAAAAATTAGAAGGCTGGACCAAGGAAACTGCCCAGCATTTGAGACAAAGCCACTAAGGGGCTGGTGACCTGTACTTTAGGGTAACTGAAGGTTATTCATGTCTCTCTATCTTTTCCTCTCAGACACATTGTTGCTGTCACTGGGTGATATCCCTCTGCCTGGATCCCTCAAAGAAGTAGTTTCTGTAACAAAGACAAGCAGGCTGTACTCAGTACCAGGGGCAGTTATGGACCGTGTGAACAACTTCACGAGAAGGAGGCCGAGGGGCCATTCAGACTTAGCTTGAAGTCCTGGCCTTTGTTTTCTCTCCACATTCAGACTGAAATGTGATTCCCCTGGCTTTCTTTTTTGGAAAATACCTGTGATGAGTTCCCTGGCTAGAAAGAAAAGCTGCTGACAGGAAAAGCTTCTGCTGGGAAGGGGGCTTCTTCACTCGTTCTCAAAGGAGACAAATATGCTTGTGGAGGGATTGCAGGCCTAGGAGAAGAGGTCAGGATCCCCCACAGAAAAGGCCATCCTTAATGGTAGATGAGGCTGAGAATTAAGCAGTTTCCCCTTTGAGAGTTGGGACATGGGCATAGAGCTTAGACTATGGCGGGGGGCACCTGCAGCCTCCTCTACTACAGAGAGGCACCTTGGGCAGATCGTTTGACCTCTCTACACACGCTCTCTCGGGGAGTTATGAGCATTAAATACAATCGTGAATATAAGTAATGAACACTGGTGCAGAACAAGGTTTCTTATGAAATGGGTTACTGATTTGATAATAGTACTTACTCCCTTCAGCCAAAACAAATGATGTCCCCCATTGCCAGGTGCTCTGTGAGTAACAGATCCATCCTCCTCCTTGACTTCAGGAAGTTCACTGTTTCATAAAACACACACACACACACACACACACACACACACACACACACACACACACACCCTGCTCTTGAAGAAGTTCCAGGGTTACACCAAGCCCACTTGGTTAAGTAGCTCACAGGCTTGTCATCTCTCTGAGTAGCTCTCCAAACTCAGCTACCTCTACCTCCAATTTGCTCACAATTCTCAGTGTGCTTCCCATACTGAGTGTGTTTTGTTCGTCTCCTATGTGAGCATGGGGATCATGTATGCATCTAATCTATTCATCTGATTTGTTCCTCTCAAACAGCGAGTAGGCCTCCGCTCTGTTCACCTGATCATGTAGGCATCTTCGGAAGCTGGTGGCCTTTGACACCGTATACAGAGGACTCAACCCTGTCCTGGACTCCTGGAAAGTAATCTCGCCCTCCATCTTTAAAAGGTTGGGCCCTGATTTAGTTGGCCCCATTGTTCCCAATTATTGCTTTGATTCCAGCCTCAGCTCCAAGTCTACTTAAGAGGCTAATAAATCTCCTTTACCAGGAGATTATGACAATGATTTGAGACGATGCAGCTTCTATGTGCCCAACAGTTCCAGGCACAGAGCCAAATGCCAAAACCAGCTGATTCCATTCTTACCCTCAACCGGGTCCAGCCAACATAAGAAAACTAAAAATATAAAATATGTGTGCACGTATCCTTCCAATTTATACCTTCCCTCAGCTGTGTGCCAGAGGATCAGCTGAATGGGAAGACACAAACAGCTCCAGGAAAAACACTGGCAAGTGCTTAGGCAAACAGATCTGAAGAGGGTAGGAATCCGTTTACTGATTACCCATATCCTCAAACCTGGGCTGCCAGAGGTGTATTTAAAACGAGACTGGCAAGCAGGGGGTAGTCTTATAACCTGCCTTTCACGATCTGTCCCAGATAACAACAAAAAAGTAATATCTGGGTTATTTAGCATTATTCACCGGTCACCATGCTAGATGATTTACAGTACAGGCATTAATTAACCCATGAGAACCACTATGTGACAGGACAGCGTGGACTTCACTCAGAAGTTGGCCTGCCAAATAGGAGTTTGGGGCTATTAGTTTGACCAATCAAGTAACAAGTAAATGGTTTAGGAAATCACCTGCTGAGCGTTCCACTGCCCGAAAGGGAAGCACAGAGAGGGTGAACCAACACAAAGCCCTTTGTGGGTGAAAAGGAGAGACGCTGGATTGGAACCCAAGTGGAAAGATCTGCCCATCCCCAGAGCCCCCATGCGGTGCAAGAACGGGGACGAAAGGGGTGCACGATGCAGGGGAGGGGTGTCCCAGGTCTGGAAAGGGGCTTGTGAGCCTTCCTCGCCTCGGGTGCACAGGTCAAGCCTCTTCCCTCCCGCGCTCTCACCCTCCCAACCTTATTTAGAAACCGTGTCCCCGAGACAGGAAGGGCGGCGGGCCGAGAAGCACGGAGCGTCCCGGCCTCATTTCCTTTCGAATCCCCCTGTGGAATTTCATTTCGTACGGTGAGGAAATCGGAGCGCGAGCCCGTCGGCTGCTCGGCTGCTCCGGGGCGCCTCCCCCACCGGGGCTGGAGACCGGCTGCTCTCGGGCGCAGGTCGCGCCGAGCGCGGGGCGGGGCCGGGGGGCCGGGCGCCAGTCCCACTGGCTGGGGGTGAAAATTGCTGCGAACTCGCGCTGTACCAGGCACCAGCTCGAAGCGTTTCAGGCTTTATCGCTAATCCCTCCCAAGTCACTTTACGGATGAGGAACCTGACGCCGAGAGGTTGGGCAATTTGCTCAAGGTCACACAGCGAGGATTTAAAGCCACAATCTGTATCAATCCTAAATACCGTGTTCTTTGTGTTCATTATTTTGCTTGATACAGAGGTGGCCACAGGGCTGGAGTTGACAGCTGGAAGGGGAAGAACATGAAAGGGGCATAGATGTGGGAGCACTTCTCACCTGAGGGAGGAGGTCAGGTTGGCTGGGCAGGAGCCACGGGGCTCCAATCGACGCCTGGCCACAGTGTGCAATGGATCCGGGTGGGAGGACGCCGAGCGCCTGGAAGCCAAGCGGGGCGGGGCGGCTCTGGAGCGAGCGAGGGAGGGGGGATCAAGCTGCGGGCCAGGGCCTGACCCTTACAGCGGGAGAGAGGCCCCGCCCCCGCCCGCCCCCTCTGCCCAAAGCGGCCTCTCATTGGACAATCATGTTGTCCGTCCCGCCCCGCCCCCGCCCTGCGAACCTCCAGCGCCGCGGAGCGCTGGGGCGGTGAGAGCAGCGCGGCGTAGAGTGCAGGCGGGCTTCGCCGAAAAGCCGGACTCGGCCGGCGCCGGGTTCTGGGATCGCTGCCTGCAGCCATGACCCTAGCAGTCCGTCCCTCTGCCCCGGCTCCGGGCGTCTGATATCCCTCACAGACTCGTACAGCTGCTGGAGAGGCGGCCGCTGCCCCCTCGTCGCCCTTGGCGCCTTACTGGACTCCCTATCCGGAGCTGGGAGCAGCGCGGCCACCGGCGCCCCCGTGCAAACTGGGGGTGTCTGCTGGAGCAGACCCCGCCGCTGCTGCCCGCGGCTCTGGCCATGGCCTGGCGGGGCACAGGGCCGAGCGTCCCGGGGGCGCCTGGAGGCGTCAGCCTGGGGCTGCTGCTGCAGTCTCTCCTGCTCCTGCTCCTGCTCCTGCGGCCGGCACTGGGCTTCGGGGACGAGGAGGAGAGGCGCTGCGACCCCATCCGCATCGCCATGTGCCAGAACCTCGGCTACAACGTGACCAAGATGCCCAACCTGGTGGGACACGAGCTGCAGACGGACGCCGAGCTGCAGCTGACAACTTTCACGCCACTCATCCAGTACGGCTGCTCCAGCCAGCTGCAGGTGGGCGCCCCTACCCCCACCCCGGGAGGGACCCAGTAGATAGGGACTCCCAAACTCCTTCCTTGGAATCCTTGACAGATCGAGCCCCCTGTTCCCTTCCTCACTCGAGGGTACAACTTCTGGAAAAGTGATTTCCACTCCGCACCCCACCCCCCATTTTTTCTGTCCCTGTTGGAGACTAGAAGCCAAAACGTTGTGTAAGTCATCTGGCCCGCGAAAGAACCCATTCTTACACCCCGCCCTTCCGTTTTTCTCCCCTGCCCATGTCTGGCCAAGCCCCTAACCCCAGAGGAGCTGAGGGTTATCTTTGCCAAGGATTCCGGCAGCCGCTGCTTGGTGGGCGAGTCCTGGCAAGGCAGCCAGTTGCACCTAAAACTTGGACAGAGTGATAAGGAGACAGAACTTCGCCCTTCCAGGTCACTCATCGACCTCCTTTCTCCCTGTATTTTTAAGTGTAGGTTACCAAATGAAACATTTCTGCAGAATGCCCCCGTCATCACCCTGCACTCTTTAGAGGTCATACAGGAAAGAGTTGGCTTGAGTTATTTCTTGTCCTTAGGGTTGGAGGCAGGTTTAGTGTTTGGACAGACTGAAAAAGCTCCAGGAAGGTAGTTTGCATATCAGAAGAACTTTTTTTCTTTTCTCTCCCCCCCCCCCCCGCCCTTTGGGGGGCGGCAGTTATTAAAATGTTAAAACTTACATATGTGTAATGATACAGAAATTCTTCCTTCCCTATTTAGTGAGATTAATTTGCATATACAGTGTAGTTATAATTTCGAATCTACAGCCAACTTAATGGGGAGATGGATTGGAATGAAGTTTTAAAAACTTAGCACTGGTCATGTTTTGGTTGGTGAGGCTGGGTGGCTTTAATATAGCTAGAAAAGAGGGTAACTGGTAAAAAAAAAAAAAAAAATAGAGGCTAGAGTTGTCCAGACTGAAACCTCGAGAAATCTATAGTTCTGGCTGTAGAGAGATAAGAAACAGACTTACAGTTTACTTACCAGCTCATGTTTTTACATAGGTCATTTTAAAAGCTGGATTGTGGTTTCGGGAAGATGGTTGGGATTAGACCTGTTGCTGGTGAAATATCCCTGTGGAAGTTTCAGGACTTCAAAACTAGGTTCTAAAAGCTTAAGAAATGATCCTCTCACTCTCAGTTTGGAAACAGCGCATAGTTGACATCAGTGGCAGTTTTGCTGGAGAAACAGCTTTTGCAAGGATATGTATTTTTAATTACATGTATCCTGAGGAAGCAGCCAAGCTGTTTTGAAAGACAAGACTGGATCCCTTTACATGCTGGAAAATAGTCACTTGTAACTCTAGACTTCATAGACAACATCTGTAAGGAGCCAAGGAGACTGTTTATCAATGCTGGAGGAATTGAGGACAGCAACTGGACTCTCGCCTGCTGGTATTGCAATTTCAGAGACTTAACATTTACATCTTCCTATTGTGCTTCATTATTATTCATTGAGGAAACGGAGCCAAACGAATCCCTGGAGACCAGAGAACCCCTGCCCCCCAACTCCTGTCTCCTCCTTGAGTCTAACAGAGTCTCAAATTAGTACATTTTCTGTTTAAATGTGAGATGGACTTTTGAAAATTAAAGTGGAAATTAGGAAAAAATAGAGTGGTAACAGTATCTATATTTTCTTACATTTATTTTTAAGGTGACCAGAGAAAGGAGGATAAAAGGCAAGCACCTGTCACCTAAGTGACCAAGTCACTTTATCAGACTCTGTAGATCTTTCAGATGGTAGCTAGAAGGAGAGGGATATTGGAAGTCAGTTTTTAAAAGTTTATTTTCATAAGTTTTATGTGAAAAGATTATGTAATTCTTCATAAATTTCTTACTTATTCATTCATTTATGTTCCTCTGAAATGAATTACGAGATCCCAACTAAGAAAACTGTGTAAAAGTGATGGATTATGAGGCACTGGTGTTTCAGGTCAGAATAAACAGACATATTCCCAGTAGGCGGGCTTAAAGGTAGATATTGCCTGGAAGCGTTCACTCAGCTTTGTGCATTTGCTCAAAACCCCGCTCATTGTTTTCTTTGTTTGTGTCATTTCTTCCCAGTTCTTCCTCTGTTCGGTGTATGTGCCGATGTGCACCGAGAAGATTAACATCCCCATTGGCCCGTGCGGTGGCATGTGTCTTTCAGTCAAGAGGCGATGTGAACCAGTCCTGAAAGAATTTGGTTTTGCCTGGCCAGATAGCCTGAACTGCAGCAAGTTCCCACCCCAGAATGACCACAACCATATGTGCATGGAAGGACCAGGTGATGAAGAGGTGCCCTTGCCTCACAAAACTCCCATCCAGCCGGGAGAAGAGTGCCACTCCGTGGGAACCAATTCTGATCAGTATATCTGGGTAAAAAGGAGCCTGAACTGTGTTCTCAAGTGTGGCTATGATGCTGGCTTGCACAGCCGCTCCGCTAAGGAGTTCACGGACATTTGGATGGCAGTGTGGGCCAGCCTTTGCTTCATCTCCACCACCTTCACAGTGTTGACCTTCCTGATCGATTCATCCAGGTTTTCTTACCCTGAGCGCCCCATCATATTCCTCAGTATGTGCTATAATATTTATAGCATTGCTTATATTGTTCGGCTGACTGTAGGCCGGGAAAGGATATCCTGTGATTTTGAAGAGGCGGCAGAACCTGTTCTCATCCAAGAAGGCCTTAAGAACACAGGATGTGCAATAATTTTCTTGCTGATGTACTTTTTTGGCATGGCCAGCTCCATTTGGTGGGTTATTCTGACACTCACTTGGTTTCTGGCAGCAGGACTCAAGTGGGGTCATGAAGCCATTGAGATGCACAGTTCTTATTTTCACATCGCAGCCTGGGCTATCCCTGCCGTGAAAACCATTGTCATCTTGATTATGAGACTAGTGGATGCTGATGAACTGACCGGCCTGTGTTATGTCGGGAACCAAAACCTCGATGCCCTCACCGGCTTTGTGGTGGCTCCCCTCTTTACATATCTGGTGATCGGCACTCTGTTCATTGCTGCGGGTTTGGTGGCCTTATTCAAAATTCGGTCAAACCTTCAAAAAGATGGGACAAAGACAGACAAGTTGGAAAGGTTGATGGTCAAGATCGGGGTTTTCTCAGTACTGTACACAGTTCCTGCAACCTGTGTGATTGCCTGCTATTTCTACGAAATCTCTAACTGGGCGCTCTTCCGGTATTCTGCAGATGACTCTAACATGGCCGTTGAAATGTTGAAAATTTTTATGTCTTTGCTTGTGGGCATCACTTCAGGCATGTGGATTTGGTCTGCCAAAACTCTTCACACGTGGCAGAAATGTTCTAACCGATTGGTGAATTCTGGGAAGGTAAAGAGAGAGAAGAGGGGAAATGGTTGGATGAAGCCAGGGAAAGGCAATGAAACTGTGGTGTAAGACTAGCCAGCTTCCCCACTGTCCTCATTCTGGAGGAAATTATGCGGTGGATCTCAGTTTGAACAAACTAGAAACACTTTAGCACCCCTGCTGTCACCCCACCACCCAGCATCATAAAAGCGATGATTTTGCTGCAGACTTTGGAATGATCCAAAATGGAAAAGCCAGTTAGAGGCTTTCAAAGCTGTGAAAAATCAAAATGTTGATCACTTTAGCAGGTCGCAGCTTAGAACGGGGAGGTACTGCTTAGATTCAGTGTGGTGCTTGTTTGCCCCTGCTGGGTGGGATTTCAGCTGTGGGTGGATAACTTATGGGGAGAAAGATTAATCTTTTAAAACTCTTTTAAATCTTAAATAGTAACTAGGTCTTTCAGATAGCAAAGTGATCTATAAACACTGGAAACACTGGGGTGGGAGACGTGTTGCAGAGTTTGGTAGTTTGGCTGGTCTAACATAAACATCTTCTGGCCTACACTGTCTGCTGTTTAGAACTCTGGAGCGCACTTCCAAGAGGTGGTGTCAAAAATCCTTCAGTGCCTTTGTCGTAAAACAGAATTGTTTGAACAAACAAAAGTACTGTACTAACCCACGTAAGGTATCCAATGGATTTCTCCCCCTCTCTTGAATTTCAACATCCCTATTCTAGGCAGCCTCTGTTTTCTTCACTTTACACTAATGACTCGAGAAGAATTATTTTTTATAGGAATTTTTTGCACTGCAGCATGCCTAATGAGGGGAAAAGGAAAGGTGATTCACTTTCTGACAATCACTTAATTCAGAGGAAAATGAGATTTACTGAGCTGACTTCCCTTACCGACCCCAGAGACCTATTGCATTAAGTAATGTTAAGCAATTGGGACTTAAAATATTTTAGTTTGTGTGATTGCAT